CTTGGTTACATAGTTATCTATCTATCTATTCTAATATATTATATATTGCGTGTATGTGAGTGTGAACACAGACACATCACAACACACCACACACACACACACCACACATAATATGCAATTATATATATATATACTATCATAATTATATAATATATATTATACATTATCATATTACTATATACATACATATTTACACACACACACACACACGCGCACACACACACACACACACACAACACACACACACACACACACACACACACACACACACACACACACACACATCACACACCACACACACATATATATATATACACATAATAACACAGCACACACACACACACACAATATATAATACACATATACAATATATATATATATATATATATATATATATATATATATATATATATATATATATATATATATATATATATATATATATATATATATATATATACGTAATAAGTTTGCCATTGAGGTGTCGTATCGTAAGGAATGAACAGGTCGACTAACACAGTCGTTGAAGAATTTCATGTTTATTAGACGTTCGAAGGAAATAATTATACCTCCATCATGATTACTGTTAAAGAGAACAAAAAGCTCAGATACACAATTAGACGTTTACCCTTATCTGTATTGTATATGTTATTTTGTTCCATCTATGTGTTATTTTTTTTGTATTCATGATCTCATAGTTATTATATATATGTGTTCTTTTACCTTGCAGTGACGTATATGTTTTAGTGTTTACCTTTCATATTTTTGTAATTTGTTTTTTAAACCCCAAGTTAGAACCATTAATACGTATTATTATCACACACACCACACACACGCACACAAACACACACACACACACACACACATACACACACACACATACACACATACACACATACACACACACACACACACAACACACACACACACACATACACACACACACACACACATACACACACACACACACACACACACACACACATATATATATATATTATATATATTATATAATATATAATATATATATATATATGTATGTATGTTTGTTGGCATACATTTATATTGAATATGAGAGTGTGTGTGTGTGTGAGTGTTTGTGTGTGATTGTGTGTGCGTCCGTGTGTCTGTCTGCATATGTGCGCATCTACATGTTTCTGTGTGCGTCTGTATGTATTTACATATAGAGGTAGACTGACAGGTCGGGAAATACGAACCTACGTATAAATACAAACTCTAGAACTGCCCACTGTCGAGACACTCTCCTTTTTCCCCTCATAACATGCAGCGAAATTGGGGAAAAAACGCTACATATGTT